AATGAAGTTGTTTAAATTTCATACTTATTTACTTATAAATGTGCTTGTCCATGTTTGTGATGTGCTTGTTCAAACCTGTAGTATGCTTATCTTTGTGGCATTTACCCATTTGCTTGTTAGTCTACAGAAGTATCTTCAGTATTCTGAGTATAAGACTTTTTTTCAGGGGCTGGAGATTTAGCTCAGTGGCACAGCACCTGCCTGGCAAACGCAAGGTCGCGAGTTTGATTCCCGGTACCAGAAAAAAAAAAAAAGACTTTTTTTCAGATGTATGTATTACAAATATCTTTTCACACTCTATGCTTTGTATTTTCATTTGATAATATTCCCTCTCATCAATAACACCTCTTTAGTTTTTTCTGATTTGTCAATATTTTCTCTTTTGGTTAGCAATTTGTATTCTATTTAAATCCTTGCATTCTCCAAGGTCATGAAAAGATTTTTATATGAAATGTGAAAGATTATTTTAAATAATATTTTTCAAATTTAAAGGTATAGTCAACTCAAAACACTTCAAATTAATATTAATATTTTCAATTTCTCCTATCATGTATTGAAAAATAGGCTGTTCTCACTATTTCTGAAGTGTCATCATTATCAAAACTTAAGTATCACAGGTCTGCTCAAGTACTCCGTTTTTCTCTGTTTAGCCTCCAATACCATATTGTCACAACGAATACACTTTTATCATGTTATATTATCTGAATGTAAGTCCTCCATTTTTATTAAAAATAGGCTATTTTAAAGAGTAGTTTTTGATTCACTGGATAAAAAAGGTACTTAGGCTTCCCATATGTCTCTGTCTCCATATATACACAACTCTCCCTATTGTCAATATGCTCGACCAGAATGACAGATTCCTCATGATTGATGAACATACATTAGCACATCTTTATCATCAAATGAATAGTTTGCATGTGTTCACTCTTGGCAATGAATATTTTCTGTATTTTTTGTGTCTGTCCCATTGAAAATAGCGCAAATTCAAGTTTTTAGAATGAAACTAAGTAGTTTCACTGTCTAAAATACCCTATGGTCTATATATTTATTTGTCCTCCCCCAAAAGCATAGAAGTCATTAATCTACTAGGGTTTCTACAGTTCTGCATCTATGAAATATCATATAGTCAAAATTATTCAGTATGTAGTCTTTTCAGATTGGTTCTGTCACATGGCAATATGCACTGAAGTTTTTAAAATGACTTTTTGTGACTTGGTAGTTCATTTCTTTTTGGCGTTGAATAAAAATATTCTATTGCCCAGTGAATCACAATTAATTTTTCCATTTACTGCTGAAGGTCATCTTGGTTGCTTCCAATTAAAAATTATCAATAAGCTACTATAAACCTCGCTGTGCAAGTTTTGTGTGGACATAAGTTTTTTAACTTCTTTGGAAAAATACTAAGGAGTATGATTGCTCAGTCACATAGTAACAGTGTGTTTGGTTTATGATAAAATGCCAAACTGTCTTCCAAAGTGGCAGTACCATTTTCCCTTTACACCAGGAGTTAATGAATTTACTTCATCTTCTGTGGATATAGGTACACCAAGTTTATTTTGGCCAGTGTTTCTGTTACAAACTTATCCCAATCTTAAAGGTTTAGTCTTTCATAGATATATCACATGCACTTATTTGGTCATATATATATTAAGATTTTTCAAAAATGTGGTTTAACAATTCTGGCTTTTTCAATTTATTACCTAATCCAACTATAACTAGTGTAATTTCTGGTATTTTCCTTATATATTTACCATGTAATAGTTTTTTCATTTGTTCCTACAGTTTTTATCTTCTTAAAATTATTAAAATACTTCTGAATTTTTAAAAAAATTTCCCTTCATTTAATAGTTATTCTCTTAATAGTTATCCATGCATCTTTGATCTTCAAGAATCTAATAAAATTATTAATTTTTCTGCTTCCATAACATTGTGCTTAAATGCTTGGATCTCTTTAACTCTATATTTCTGCCTTTTATGTTATTGCTATTATGAATTTAAATTTCAAATATATTTTAAATCCTTTAAGGAACTACTCTCTTTGCCTAATATAACCAATATTTCATTGCTATTTATATTTACTCTTCAGTCACTTTTTATTTCTTCCTCCATTTGTGTGATCCCTTTTTGACTATTTTCCTGCCTAATGAATTCCATTGAAATATTTTTTTAGTGTAGATGTGATTGAATTTCTGTTACTTTTTGTTTGTCTGAAAATTTTACTTTTGAAGGATATGTTTGCTGAATAGATTTCATGGCTGCTAATAGTTTTCCTTCAAAACTTTGAAAATACCATTTCTTTCTCTTTTGTGTTATTATTTATATTTATGAACCAGCTCTACATTTTACTGGTGCTTCTTTAAAACTAATATGATGTCATGCTCACTTTAGGAGGACATATACTAAAAGTAATTTGACATTATTATGTGCTTCCTTTTGAGAATTTTTCTCTTACAGTTTGGCCTTGAACCACTTGTCATGATTTAGGCAAGTGTGTTTTGTGTTTACTAGTTGTATTTAACTGAGTATCATAAAGAACTGAAGACTTTTATTCTTTTGTTTTCTGTCTTTGAAATAGTGTTTCATTTTGTAATTCAGGCTGGCCTTGAACTCACGCAGTAGCCCAGGATGGCCTAGACCTTGCAGTGATCCTCCTGTCTCAGCCTCCCTAGTGGGGGGATTACAGGTGCATGCCACTATGCCTGGCCTCTTTTATTCAGTTTCGAAAAAAAACTTGGTTCTTATTTTTCAAATATTGGTTATTACAAATTTTTACTCTCTTAGCTTTGTAAGATTAGGATCACATGTATCTTAGAGTTGCTCATATAACTACTATACTTTTGTACATATTTTTTTCTTTTGTTTCTATTTGGATTTTTATATTGGCCTGTTGTGCTTCTACTAATCTTGTAGTCATTTATGTCTATGCTATTAACAAATTTAAACAGTTTTCAGTCCGATGTTATATTTTTCAGTTATAGAATTAATTTCAAAATTTCAATTATGTAGTAAAATTCTCTTTTTATCTGTTTCCATTGTTCTTTATTTTTGATGTATATTTTTCATACTTATCTTAACATCTTTGTCAGTTAATTCTGATATCTATATCATTTATAGATCATTTCTACTTTTTTGTCTGTTAGTTTTATTTGTCATCTGGTTTTTCTTGTGTGTGACTAGTAATGTTTTTACGGAGTGGCAACTATTTATGTAGAAAGCTCTCCAGAATCAAGATGATGTTATCTTCATTCAGGAAGAGTTCACATTTTCCTCTGTTAGCTTAATACAGCCATATTAAATCTAGTCACCTCAACTGAAACAGGCAGCATGCTTAAAGGTTCTTTGCAGGCCTGATATGCACTTAGTCCTATGAAATTTTCAGTTGAGAACAGGGGCTGTTCACCACAGTCCTCTGGCAGGTTCCAAAACTCTAACCTGTCTAAAACAAGAAAAACTTGACTCTATTTTTCAAGAATTTTCAAGTAGATGAGACTTTTACTTGATGGGCTGCCTTGAGTTTGACAGTTGGCCCTGAGAGCGTGAATGCTCCAATCTGCCAAAGGCTACTGAACTTATTCTAAGAATCCGTTGTTTTGTACTTGGCAAATGACAAGAGAACTCAGTTCTTACCCCATGGATTTTTCCATCTAAGGAATCTTATTCTATGGAGTTATTACAATCACCTGCTTGCCATTGCTTTAAAGAGATAATTTATGACTTTTAACCAATTTTCATGATTCCTTTCCACTGCCAGATAGTCCAGCTAACCTAGAAGCAGAATTCTATCAAACACATGGATAAGTTTTAACTGTACAGTTTAAAAAATATTTGTGTGTGTGTGTGTGTGTGTGTGTGTGTGTGGTGTGATGCTGAGCAAGGTACCCAAGGCCTTGTGCATTCTAAGCAAGTACTGTATCACTAAGGTACTTCTCCATCCTACAAAAGGGGATTTGAAGTGGTATAGGTACTTTGCCTTCAATAGAATTTCTGTCCAAAGAGTAGCCTGTGTTAAACTTACTACATGTTGTGCTTAAAAACAGCAAAGAAATTATAAACATCCGTTTTTAATAGAGGAATATGAGAAAATCATTTAAATCTGTATCTCTGTCAAGATATTCAACATCCATTCTCTAATTTGATTCTGTAATTACAGAACTGGGGTACTTTCAGTAGGACTGTGAATATATTTGAATTGTAGTTACTGCTCAATGCTAGTAATTAACACTTTCACTATGAAATTTGTATGGCTCACTGCAGGGTGGCTTGAACCACAGAGAATACATGCATGACTGTCCCACTGGGTGGCATTTTATTAATTTTATTAGTAAAAAGACCAATAAAAATGATTAGATTCATTTGTACCACTAGTGGTCCAAGCCACTAAATGGAGCAGTCATGCATGTACCACTGGTAGTTCAAGCTGGCAGCAACATGTTAAATTTCAAAATGTTGAACTATTCTACAATCTGTTGGTGATGCCTAGCTAGTAAAGAATCATCCTTACTACATAAATACACAAAAGGATTAGGTGGGTTCTGGGTGTTTATTTGGCTAGTCTTTATTTGCAGGATTATGCAAATGGAACTTTCCTTGCATAGACAAAAAAATAACTTGTATTTTCATGATGTGGGCATGTACTTGTGAAAATTTCCACCAGGTTTTTTTATGTATTATCATACATAAAACTATTTTATTTAGATAGTTGATAATAAATAATGGATAAATCCCTAGTTGACTACTATGTTTGTGTCTGGCATATTTGTGTTTAGTTCTATTCTCACTTTCATCTCTTCCTCACTTCAATTTTTATACTGAATGAAGGCTTAAAACTGTGTTTCAGGAATAACTTAACTTGCCAGTGTCTTTTCTGTATTGTTATATCCTTAGGAAAATTAGTAATCTAAGGAAAAGCACAACCACTTAAACTACAATAGCATGAGACTTGAGATTCACAAATAAATATTAAATTACAAACTAAGCTTTTTTTTTAATATTTTGCTTTATTGAGACAGGGTCTCATTATGCAGTTCAGACTGGTCTTGAACTCCCTTTGTAGCCCAGGCTAGCCTCAGACTCCCACGGAGCCTCCTGCCTCACTCTCCCAAATGCTGGGATTACAGGCTTATGCCACTACTGCCTGGATAAATTACAAAGTAATCTTTTTAACTGCTTATATTCTGCCAAAAGTTCAATTAAGTTGTCTTACAGTTACATCCATATAAATTTTATTTAGAAATCATACAGTCCACTAGGCTTATTGAACACAACAGAAAACAACTGCAGTTCACATATTCACCATGGTTTCCATCTTTAGAGAAAAATAATGCTTATTTCATGCATATATAATATCAGCTGGAATTAAAATTAAATTAATTAAAAACTGAAGGTTATGTTAAAGAATGAAATAGAACCTAGTTAAATATCACAAAGAAATCATGATTTTGGTGATAAGCCTGTCCACATCCAAAAAAGAGTAAAAATCTATGATCAAAGAAGACAGCTAAATTTGTTAGTTTCTGACTCTTCAGAAAGTTAGGAGAAGCTGCTGGAAAACAAAAGGAAATACACCGGTAAGCTACACTTGAACTTCTATTCGTAAGTCAAAAGGCAGAACAAGAAGGCATGATGCCCTCGAGAGGGAATAATTCAAGTGCCCAAATTTTGTTTAAAAAGGATTATATCAAGCAGTGACTTAACAGTTTTATTTAATAAAAGGAGTGACAAATTATACTTTTGCTTTAATTTCAATTTAATGAGAATTATTCTAAATATTAAATCATACCATTTATGGAACACTTACAATGTGCTAGGTAGGTAGCAATTTTAAAAAAAATCCCTAGCATAAATGGACCTCAGGAAAGGAAAAAGATCACAAAGTATTAATATTTTAATGAAGTGCATGTTAATATACAACTTGGAGAAAGAAGTATGCTAGGTTTTTATGTTCTTAGCTACTCTGGGGCTTTAAGATGGTAGCACAGTAAACCAGAAAGGCCAAAGTAACAATAAAAATTTGAAACACTCTGTCCCTGATAAAATTGTAAAGGTGTCAGCATACTCTGGGAGGCTGAGGCAAGAGGATTGCAAATGGGAGCCCAGCCTGGGAAATTTAGTGACCCAGTAAGACATTGCCTTAAGGTTAAAATCCAAAACAGGGCTGGGGATGTTGTTTAGTGGGAAGACACCGAGGTTCAGTTCCCAGTAGTAAGCGAAAGGGACTTACAAAGAATTTTCATTGAAGCTTTAAGATGTTTAATAAAACCATTACAAGTTCGTGAAAATAAAAAATTTATACTCCTTGAATTACTTATACTTCTGGAAAGATAATCACCAAAAGATCAAACGTGCAGAAAATTCATCCTTATCGGTACAACTAAAAGTAGTAGGTGTATCTGATACGAGTAAAACAGAAAGAAACGTAGTGCTATTAGAGACATGCGCAGGTTTTCGACAGCATTGAGAACATTTAAAGAACAGTATTTTAGAAGGAAGGCATTGCACACGGCTCTTGGTGAAAATTAAAAGATTTAAGGAGCCAAATACAATAGTCAGCTGATCACAAAGCTGTTTCTGCAGTTGGGATTCTCTCTAGTTTCGCTCCCAGTGTCCAGACCCACGAGGTTGGGGAATAGAGGCTTGAGGAATTTGAACTCACCAGTGCCAGAGTCTCCAGAGAGACACACCTCATACTGGTAGCTGTGGGCCAGGGTCCCGGCGCCGCTGACGTCCAGCAGGCGGGCCGGGAAGGGGCCCTC